CTCTTCAAGTTCTATTTTTAGGCGTTTTCAATGGAACATGACAATTTTCTCTAGTTTGTACAATAACTTCATCCTTATAACAATCACTTAATTCTTTCTTAGCTTTATCAAGTAAGTGGCTAAGTATGTCAATATCATATTCATATTCTTTACATGATGCACATGTTATTTGTTTATCACCTTTTTCCTCTAAACATGCAATTTTCGTTTTCAAGGATTCCACTTCTTTTTTCGATTTATTCAAACACTTTTTCAAGGTTTTATATTTAGATTTTAAGTCCTTAAAATCAGTAAACAACTCTTGATATACATTATGTAAGGCATCATAATCATTTTCATTATCACTTGAAGAACAATCGGAATCACTTAACTCACAGTCAAAAGAAATGTTGTCATTTGCCATCAAGCAAATATTTGCTTCAACTTCCGAATCGCTTGAATCCGAACTTAAGTCACTATCATCCCAAGCTATATAGGCTTTCTTTTTTGAAGAATTTCTTTCCTTTATAATCATCACTTTTCTTGTTGGGACAATCGGATTTTACATGCCCTGTTTCACCACAACCATAACATTTGAAATTTAAAGAAGAACTTTCTTTTACCTTTCCCTTACCTTTGAAAGGTTTCTTCCCATTGTCTTTCATGAACTTTGTAAATTTCTTGATCATAAGACTCACGCTTTCATCTTCTTCATTTTCTGAGTCTTCCTCCTCCTTCTTGTTCTTGTTTTTAGAAACTTCAGTTTTGAAGGCTAAATTTCTATTTTGATGTTGGCCTTCTTCATCGTTTAGCCTTCCAAGTTCAAGTTCAGGCTCTCTCAACTTTCCAAAGAGAGTAGCCATAGTCATGGTAGCAAGATTTTGTGACTTCGTGATTGCCGTCACCTTTGGTTGCCATTTCCTATCCAAAGATTTAAGAATTTTTACATTTAATTCATCAGTATAAAAAATCTTACTAAGTCCAGTGAGATGGTTCACAATATGTGTGAAACGCTTTTGGACGTCAAAAATCGTTTCTTCTTGTTGCATCCGAAACATCTCATATTTTTGAATTAATGAGTTCTTCCATGCTCTTTTAACATCATCGGTACCTTCATGGGTTACTCTTAACATTTCCCAAATTTCTTGAGCACTCTTGCAAATAGATATCCTGTAAAACTCATCAAGGGTTAAAGCAGACGAAATTATATTTCTAACCCTAACATCATATTGAGCTTTTCTATTTTCTTCTGCAGTCCATCTAGAAAATGGTTTAGATACCTCTTCTCCATTTTCAATAACTTTTGGAATAAAAGAACCATTTACAATTGCATCCCATACACCTCTATCAACAGACTCCAAAAATATTTGCATTCTAACTTTCCAAAAAGGATAATTTTGCCCAAAAAAAAGTGGGGGGTCTATTGATAGAAGTACCCTCAGCAAAGGTTTGGTTTTGTTCGACCATTTTTGAAATTTGAATGACTATCAAAGCAAGCTCTGATACCACTTGCTAGAATCGTGTAGCGAAATGTTCGCATTTAGGGACAAAAACCAAGAGGGGGGGGTGAATTGGTTTCTTATAAAAAAAGTAGGTTTTTAAAATTTTCCCAAATTTTACTGATTAAAATGCTTGTAATGTAAAGAGACAAGGGAAAGAAGATTACACAGTTGATTTATATTGGTTCGAATCAAAAGACCCTACGTCCAGTTGTTAATCACTCTAAAAGAGGATTAACGCTATCACTATAATCACAGGTTATAAAAAATTACAAATTGAAAAAGATAAGGAATAGAAAACACCTCTCTTGAGTCACACAAGAGATGAACACCTCCTTTGAATCCACAAAGGATGAACAACAACTTTTCTTAGAGACGACATAACACACAATCCACCAAGAAACCCACTCAGTGATTCTTATCGCCTCTAGCCCACACTAGGTTTTCAAAAGCCCCTTTTTCTTCCCTACAAAAAGTTCTCTAGCAGTCACAACTCTTAACTTTTGTATGAAAAAAGTTTTTTATTTTGCAGAGAGCCTTAGAGAACCTTAAGTAGAGAGAATATGGTCTGGGAAATGATGATTTTCAAAAATATATCTTGAGTGATAATCGATTATTACAGAGCCATTTTCGCAGAGAAGTAAAACAAGACTAGAATAATCGATTATCTGTGTAAATAATCGATTATTTGGTTGGGATAATCGATTATCTTGAGTGATAATCGATTATCACAACAAGCTTTTCATAAAAACAATTTTCAGTGCAGGATAATCGATTATCCTGAGTGATAATCGATTATCACAGAGTGGATTTGATAAAAATGAGTTTTCAGATAATGGACTATGTGTTGGCTATCTTGGACTCTAATTTTATAGACTAAAAAACATAAAACAGAGTTATTACAAGTAAATACACATGATTATAAGTCTTCAAGTCTCTAAGTCCTTTGTTCTTGAATCATCATCAAAATCTTCAAGCTTCATATCCTTGTATTTTTAACACCATTGTGATATTAGCAATCCTTTGGTAGGCCTGAAAATGGTGAAATCGCATGATCCTCTAAATCATTGGAATATATCCTATGTGTGAAATTGTATTTGACAAATCATCTCAAGATTTCCGTGTTATTATTTCAATTTACCAATAATATTTGAATCCTTCCAACATTTCTTATGTTAAAGTGGATATTGATGGCAGTGGCGGATCTTGACCATTTATTTTGGGGGGCCCAAATAATATATTATTAATAAATAATAAATAAATATAAGATGATGAAAGGGTGAGAGGATAAAATTGTAAATGTATAAATAAATATATTAAATGATCATTTAGTTGGAGGGGATAAAATCATAAATTATATGAGAGTTAAGAGTGATGAGATGATAAAATTGTAAATATACAAGTAAATATATTAAATGTTTATTAAGTTTGGGGGACCAAAATCATAAATTACATGAGAGTTACAAAACTTTGTGGGGCCACGACCCCCCTCAATTCCTAAAAAGATCTGCCACTGATTGATGGAACCTAGTTAAGCTACGATGCAATAAGAATAAGTATTATTAGAAATAGTAAAAAATTGATTGAATGTTTAGCTTTTATAAATTTTGTGAACCTGAGCATATTGCTTGTGAAACTGGAAATAATGAACAACTAGTCTTAATCATGTTTAGTTTTTAGAATGTTGTTGGGTATTAATGTGAGATAGATCGTTCTCATGCAGTGATGTAGGGATGATAATTAAACCCGTACCCGTGGAGATTAACCTGTCCCCGCCCCGAGTTTGACGGGGAAAACCCGAGTTGATTGGGGGCGAGTTCGGGCTTTCCCGTTTTAAAAGTCAGGGCGGAGGCGGGGATGAGTAATGTGATCCCCACCGTGACCCCGTCCCGCCCCGACTTTATATTTAAATTTAAAATTTAAAATATTAATATTTTAAAAGTATTTACTTTTCTTTTTCTATACATATAAGGTCATTTTTTTATATTTTACTAATTTTTATTTTTCTTCTACCCATTTTTTATTTTTTTTGTCTTTTTTAATCTTTTATATCAATTAATTTATTATATTATTCTCTCTCTTACCTTTCAATTTTTTACATTTCCTTAATCTCTCCCATCAATTTGTTTTTTGTTCAATCTTTTCAACCAATTTGATAAACACAAAGTTAATTTTTTTCTTTATCTTTTTCTAAATATTTTACATAAATCTTAGTAGTAACTAATATTATTTTATTTATAATTTATATTTATTAGATTTTATTGTGTCATATTTTTTTATCTTATTATTCTTATTTATTATATATCAAATTTTATCTTAATAAAATAATTGTATTTTAAAGGATTGAAAGGAATTGATTATTTAAATTTTTATTACTTCGAACTAATTAAATAAGAATTAACTTATTAAATATTTCCTTCTAAATTATATATTTCATATTTTTAAATGACAACTTAATAATGAATTAACTTATATATATAATCAAATGTTTGAATACAATATTATAATAATAATGTTATAGGTATATTCAAATATTTGAATACAGTATTATAATAATAATATTATAAATAAAAAATGATTAAATATTTCTTTTAAATACATATTTTAATATAAATACAATAAATTAAAATGTATATTTAATTAATAATAATTATAAATTATAAAATTATAAATATTTATTTATATATAAAAAATAGATAGTAAAATTAATTTATTAAAAATATAATTATCTTTTTAAAAATAATATAGATCGGGTATGAGACGAGAAATCTAAAACCAACTGAATGAGATGGTTAAAAAAGTTGCAATGGAGCGGGAATCGGGAAGGCAAAACCTGTCCCGACCCTATACCATGCCTACGGTGATATTCTGCGAATTCATAAAGAAATCATTCATAATACGTACCTAGTCAATATAGAGATATTAGTAAAAATGGATATTTGTTAACTCTTTCATGAGATAAGAGACATTTTCCTTCTTGACTAAATCAAACATTTGTTTTTTCTTTTGAATCTACCTAACAAACACCCCTTACGAAATTGGTTGGGTGCCCTAAAGAAACGGCATTATCACTTCATTCTAATTTTTTTAAGTATAGAAATCTTTAGCACTATTATTTAAATTATATTCTTACTTTAATATTTGTGTAAATGATTGTAGTTGGTCTGGAAGCAAGCTATTGAAATAAATACGTGGTCTAGTGTTAGGTGAGAACTCCCGAGTTCCAATATTGAGTTAATAATATCCGAACGAACACTCTCGATTCGACAAAAACTACAATTGAAATTATCATGCGAACGAAAAGGACCCACTAACTTCAACTTAATGAACATTTAACGCAACAATTTGACGTAATCACATAATGTTCTACTTGGGATCGGTTAACATACACACTCCACGCACTCTCAACCATTTCTTACACTTCCATTCACACCCACATTGCCATTAAACTCAAACAAACACAGTCAGAACCAGATTTTATAAAGAAAATAGCCAGCAACTATAGTAGTGCCAGTTCTAGTATTACTCATAAAAACACTCTCCCTCAGAACTTGAACCTGATTCACGAAGATCTTCATTCACATTGCCTTCTCCCTGCTTAAACGCCTTGGCTATGTCATCAATTGGAATCAGAGGCAAATACCCAAACACACCACCACCCTTTACAGTCATTCCCTTCACCACATTGTTGTACTTTTCTGACCAGTATGCAGCAGTGGGAACTGCCATCTCTGCCACTGCATGGAATGGTGGATAGTGGTTGAGGCCAAACCACACTTTCACTGAACCAAACACCACAATTTTCTTTGACTCTGTTGCAACATATTGTGCTACTGCTCGAGCCCCACCAGATTGAGCCTCACTCACTACATTTTCAGCCTTGTTCGTCACTTCCTGAACCAAACAATTCACTTGGCTTGCAACTTGCTTAACAAAAGAAGGTGCATGCTCATCGAATTTGCGGGTTGCTTCATCCACCTATCACATTCATGTAACAATTAGTTCACCCAAAAATTGATTGCTTAGCAAAATTGTAATTTCTCAATTCATTCAAATATCAACTATGTTGATACAAGGAAATACAAATTTACATAAATTAAATTCATTTTAAGTACCTATGGAAGACCAAGCAATTAAACAAGAGAATTTAAGGGTAAAGCTATACATAAAAATCAAATTGCATGATGGATCAAGTATTTCTGGGATAAGAATGAATAACAAAAATTTCTACTGTGGATGCATGCACACATAATAGTTCCCTATAACAACGAAAAGCTCGTGTCTTTCGCTTCCGTTTTCCTATAGTATTCGTTAGGGTGTTCTTTGCTACGATTTACAAGGCAATTTTCACCAATTGAAATAGATCTTGATCTGAATACAAAGACAACTATAGTCAGAAACAAAATTCACCCTTACACACAGAAGAAAATTATTTACAAAAGCGCATTAACAACAGCAACAATAAAGAATAAATCATATAAACAAAACCAACAACATAAAACAGAGAGAAACCTTATTGTCCACAAAAAGGAGAAGATGGTTTGGGACACCCTTGAATTTGTGGTAGACAGGACCCAGAACGGTAGTTACAGTATCTTCCACGGTTCCAACAGCAGATCTCAAGGGTCCTGAGTTTTGCTTTGCGAAGTAGTAGAGATTCGAAACACACACAAAGGCTTTAATTGCCGCAATCTTAACAAAACCAAGATGTTTCAGTTCTTCATGACTCTTGTTCTCCACATCCCTCTGCACAAACAACATTCCATTTTGTGTAAGATCTCTGCAAAAGAAATTGAAAAAAAAAAAAAAATTGAAATAGGAGAATATTCCAAACCTCTGTGGTGGTGGTGGCCATTGTTTTCTCCGTCTTGGAACTTGCAGTTTAGTTGTTACTGAAATATAACAGCATTGTCACTGGAGCCTTGATTTATAGATGTAAACGGAATCACATGCAGTTAATATTAACCAAATAAAATCAAATAATCAAATAATTTTACAGTAATTAATTCTGTTGTATTAAGCTCGAAATATTAAAAGAGAACATAGATACACCTAAATCATATAGTATATCGATATCTTGACAACACCAGACAAAAAAAAAAAAAATATTAAAAACCGGGGGAATCGGGTTGGTTACTTTTGTTTCTAAAATACATGGTGTATATCAATCTCGGCAAATATAAACCGACGATTTTTAAATATTTTATTGTTTTCTTAAAAAGGTTATTGATGGAATTTTGTTTTGTGATATTTAACTCTATTTAACTATGTTCTACATAAATTAAAAAAATTTCCAAATTTAAATTCCTAGGGCAACGACAAGTAGAAACTTTAATACATTTTAAATTATCATTATTATCATAGTTTTAATAAAATGTAATATGCGTCAAAATTTTAATATATTAGACTTTCTAAAAAGTATTGTTCTATTAATCCGTTTAGACACATATTATTATAAAAAATTAATAATTATAATAATTTTAAAAACTTTTAACAATTTAAAATATATAATAATTATACCTTCAATATAATGATTTATATTATATATTAATTTACTATTTATAACATACTTCTAATTTACAATTAAACTATTGTGATTATATATTATAACTTATAAAAACATATTTAACTTACATACATTAATGATATCGAAACATTTATTATAAAATTAAATTCAAATTATTAGCAGACATAATTACACTTTTAAACTCTTAATTTTAATAAATATAATATGATTTAAAACTTTTAATATATTCAAAATTTCAAATTTATTGTTTTAATAATCAGTTTATACTACTACTATTATTACTATTATTATTATTATTATTATTATTATTATTATTATAAATTAATTTGTACTTTATAATTTATACATTATGTAAGAGGGATTCCTCTTTATAACTGTTTGTTTTATCATCGTTTATAATATATAATATTATTTATAATAATAAAAAATTAATTTGTACTTTATAATTTATACATTATGTAGGAGGGACTCTCTTTATAATTGTTTTTTTTATCATCGTTTATAATATATAATATTATTTTTTATCAAATATATCATTATATGAATAAGGAAAATAATATAAGAAAAATAGTTATTATAATTTTATATAATTTAACAAATAGTAGAAAGATGAGAAAGAAAAAAGTATGAGACTCGTAAATTAAGGCAAATGATAAGAGATTGTCCCGTACATTTATTATCGATCTTAAGGGATCAAATAATATATTATTAATAAATTATAAATGAATATGAAAATATAAAAGAATATGAAAGGATGAGATATCAAATTTGCAAATATACAAGTATATTTAATAATTAGGATCAAAATTATAAATGTAAATGTAAGTTACAAAACTTTAAGAATAATCATTAAGTTTGATGGGAATCATAAATGCTAATGTAAGTTACAAAACTTTGACCCGTCACCTCCCAATAAACTCCACCACTGTCTATCCGATTAAGTGAAAGATCTAATAGATATAAAAATCCTCTAAATGAGAATTGTGGTAGGATGGAACTCCCCCAGCATCCACATCAATTAAGTAGATTTAAGGTAGACAATGTAGGACTCTCACAACATTTGTCATATAAGAAGATTCCAACTATAGTAAGTTAGACTAAGAAGACTATGATACAATGTTGGATTTGAACTTAAAACCAATAAGGTGAAAGACCTAACATATATCATACCATGAGAATTGAGACAAACTATGTGTCTGAATTGTCCTTAGTTGAGGGAAGATGTTAGGGAGAGTCTCATAGCGCCTATCTCGATATTCAAAGTATAACTTATACAGAATTGGACCACTTCGTTTAATGTCAATTGAATTTAAGTTGAAAGATGTTGAATTATTTTGTTCAATGTCAATTGGTTTTAAGTTAAAATCTGACATGATATAGACCTTCTTAGTCTCTCACTTATAGGATATTCTTAATCCAGAGGAAATGTTGGAGGAAGTCAGGTGGAGTCTCACATAACTTATCTCAATTATCTAAGTATGACTTATATATCTCTCATTTTATCTAATGTCAATTGATATTAAATTAAAATCTGACATATGTATTTTACAATTGAATTGTATATTTGTTTGTTTATATATATATATATATATATATATATATATATATATATATATATATATATTCTTTTATTATCATTTTATTCTTTATATTACATTTAATTTTTAAAAAATATTAATTATTATTAAAAATTATAATTTTATTTTTAATATTTGATAATAATGTTTTTAACCAATTTTTTTATTTTGAACTTTAATAATTTTTGAACTTTTTTTAACTGTAATTTTATTTTATTTCCTTTTAATATGGACACACAAATACAATAACATATGTTTTCACTATTAAATCACTACTAGAAAAATTCCAAATAGTAACCGAAATCAGTGATTGAAAAATTTAGTTACTATCAGTGACTGAATCAGTAACCAAATTATTATTATTTAGTTTAGTAATTGAAATAGTAACTAAATTTTCGGTTACAAAAAATCGGTTACTATTTTAGTCACTCTTTTATTTAATTTAATTTTTTAAATTAATCTAATTATCTAATTATTTCACTAAGTGATTATACCCTCCCAAATTTTCATCTCGCGCTCATACTAATCTGCCCCAAATTTTAATGCACGCTCACATTAACCACTGATTTGATTTGACCTTGTAGCTCCCAAATTTTCATCTTCTTCGCTTGCTGACATTCACCGCACTAATCCGAGCTTTGAATCCCACCCTTCTTGTTCGAGGTTAATCTGACATAGGGCTTCATCTCTCCATCCCCAATCCTCCAGCCTTCGGTGATTTTCAGCCTAAAACCCAACACGACAACCTAAAACCCACCTTCGATGACTTGAAATCCAACCCAAACGACTTCGAACCTCAACCCCAGCCTCAACATCGACAAACTCGAGGCCCAAACCCAACTTCGACGGCATCGCCTGAAACCCAACACGACAACCTGAAACCCAACTCCGATGACTTGAAATCCAACCCAAGCGACTTTGAACCTCAACCCCAGCCTCGGTGAACCTAACTCCGACGACCTCAGTTCCAACCTACCCAGGAAATCACATACTAGAACCCTAACCCTCATGAACTTGAATCCTAACCTGATGACCTCAAATCTGCCTTGAAAAGTAATTGTTTCAAAACATTCACGAAATTCAAATCGGTATGTATTTATTGGGCATAGATAATTTGTTGAAACAATTATTATCCAAGTTACTCTAATATGCAATTTTGTCCCTACAACTGCAACTTTCTCTTCAAGTAAAATGATTGTCTGTTTTGATTAATCTCTCTTTCATTTTCTTCTAGTATAATTTTGTTTCGTTTCTGTCTATGACTACTCATGTAATCAACTTTGATCCATGCAGAAACCAAAAGACATTTCGTCCAAAAAGAGTGCCCCATCGGGAAGTAAGGTTGGTACTTTCACTCGTGGAATGGTTAATGGATTCTTTTCCATTTTGTTCTTTATGGTTTATATTCAACCAATTGAGCCTTCTATGCATTTTAATTATAAAATGCAAGGTGCTCAACTTGAAAAACACATAGATGCCACATTGGGTAGTGGGAACTTGAGGGAAGCTGTTAAAATGCCTCCTGGTGAAGATATTATTGAGTGGGTAGCTGTAAACCGTAAGAATCTTTAATATTTAGCTTTTGGCAAATAGTGCTCTAGTTTCCACTATAAATTGTGCTCTTCCCTTCCTTGTTTCTCTTCCATATTCTCGAGACTTATTTTCTTAACCTTTTCTATACTATTGACAATGCTTGGTGTTTTATTTATGCATAGCGTGCTAAGTTTTAGTCATTGGTGATTACAAAATTAAGAAATTTTGCACATTGTTATTTATATTTTTGTTTTTATGTGCAGTTGTTGGTTTCTTTAATCAAGTGAATATCCTGTTTGGTACACTTACATAATTCTACACACCAAATAATTTCCCTACAATGTCTGCAAGACCCAAGTATATTTTTATCCTTCAACCAACTCTTTAAAACATACAAATCACACATTGGCCAATAACTTTTGCATGTGGATGAGTTTAGGTCTGCATACTTTTATTGTCTTACTTTGTGGTAGTAGTGTGTTGAAGAATTCTCACATTCAAAGCTTTGTTCTTTAATTCTGCATTCAGGGGTTGTTGTTAATGTTTTATTTCACTTTCCTTTTGTATCAGATTGAATAGAGCCAAGCATTGTAAATTGGTTCTTTGTTTATGCTTTTTTGTAAATGCAGTGGTGAACCGAGTATGGTACATGTGTGCTGTATTTCAACTTTCATAAATGTGATGCACTTTTGGGTAGTTATAAGGTAAAAAGGGTGAAACATGTTAATGATTAAACTCCTGGATATTTTCTGGCATAATGATATTGTTTTAGGGGATTGGAAACACTAACATGCAACAACTTAGATTAGAATTATGATTACAGATAAATGTTAACTAAAACTAATAGTTGATAACTCAATATTTCTCTGCCACCTTGAGAAATACTGTCGTCATCCGTTAAATAACAAGGCTTTATGAATGTTATCTAGTAACTTGTCTTGTTCAGTATAACTATAATAATGAATTCCATTTTTGTAGTTCGTTCTTACAAAATGACTTTAATGTGTAAGCTTTATAAATTTAAGGTCACTTGTGGGTTCTTGATTCCTGTTGAAATGATTATTTGATTGCGTGAATATGAAAAGTTGAGACACAATGTTATTGAAGTGAGGAACTTTAAATTGCCCTCCATCCAGTTTTCCTAGTCATCTATTGATTGTGGGTTTACGAGTCTGTTTATAATTTGTTTGGGTACAATCTTACCTAAGTGAGGAACTT